TCTGAAATGGAGCTGCCACACCTCTTTCCTAAGCTATTTAAAAATTCGAGAAAAGTAGAAGAGTTCCACAATTGTACCATGTTGAAATGCCTCTGCCACAGGCCCCCTTTTTTTCTGGTCTGTATCAAGCATTTCTTGCTTTCTGGTGATAAATCGATAACTCAAATCAGCCAGCTAAAGCCACTGGCATAAATGGCTTCTAAGTTCTTATAGGGACCCCATGCCTCAGTTGGAAGCAGCCTACTCTGGTTCTGGAGCACCTGAACCAGGGCCAGAATTACTATTTTAGTGCTCGCATAAAATACTTGGTTTTCTTATACTTCAGCGTGTCTCCTTGGTAAACCAGACCTAAACCACATTATCATTTTTCAGCCAACACACAATAGGGAGGATACAGTATTGGAGAAAACAATGAGAACCATGTGCAGATTTTCTGTCAAAACTGTCATTGCAGTCTGGCTAAAGCCAGAGCTTTTGAAAAAAGCAAGACTAGTTCCTTACATTAATTTTATCCCTTGAAGAAATAATTACATAGATTTCTCAACCCCAAATCACTGAACGCTAAGAAGTTAAGCCAAGGTAATAGTAGACCTTTGTGTTAGCTTCACCCAAATATCTTCCTAGCTAGAAAATGGAAGCATATTCTGTATTGGCAGAATAAAACCTTTCATTGCAAGAGTCTGTGTTTTCCAACTCTGGTAAATTGTTTGGAGCACGGAAGGAGATCTGGATGTGTTCCCTTGTATAACTGTATTTTGTTGGAAGAGAAAGTGCTTGATTCGAGTAAAACGTGGTCAGTCAGAAACAGACTTTGCCAGAATAGGAAAAAATTCAGTGTTAAATGGTATTTTGATCCCCATGGAAAATTTGAGATGAAGACTTTATCTTCTGGAGGCATAAGAGGGAGACAGTGGGCCTTATGGCTGAGATTTTTGTCTTTCTTTAATGTTGCAGATTGATGCAACCATTAAAGCATATTTTCTTGGTGTTTTTTTTTTTCCTTTACTGAGATATTTTGGCTGTATTTTTAAAAAGGAGATTGTGCAAGGGTAGAATGACCAACTTGATCAGTTTGAAAAGATCAAAGTAATCAAAGCAGCGGAAAAAAAAGAGCAGTGGTTTTAATTATTCCAATTCTAGTCCTAGTTCAACTGTGACCTTGGGAAGATCATTTTCTATCTTTGGCCTCAATTCCTCATCTGAAAAATTAAGAAAATCAACTCAAAATCAGTGATCCATCTTGTCTTCATCTTCCACAACATCCATGAAGTTTATAAACACAAGACTTCCCATGGGTCATACTGGAGCCATCTGAATGCTCAGTGACCCGCCTTTAATTTCATCCCTTTCTTGCCATCTCAAGAAGTCATACTGCAATGCATGCGAGGGAGAGTGACTTTATTTTCACAAAACCCTTGAATCTCATCCTATACTGATTTGAAAAAATAAAGCACTAATTATCTCCAAATTTCTTTACTTCATTAACAACAATAACAATAGTCTATTACTAAAAATTGACCTGCAGCCTTTCTCACTGTTGCCTCATGCTCTTATGTGGTCTAAGTCACTGTTATAACTGAGTGACAGGTGGTTTCTAAGAAACCTGAGATCGTCAACCTTCTAAACTGGCATGACTTCCCATCATCTGAAAATTGAAGAGGGTTAGATTTGTACAGATACATTAAAGGGCTGGAACCCCGAAACTGTTGAATATCTGTATCTGCCTCTACTTCTTCTATCTCAGTTAAATCACTAAATTACTAAAAATAACAAACTAGAAATAGACTCAAATTTTACTGATGGCCAAGGGAAACATCATAACCCGGTTCCATGCCTGATCTCAGACCTTGTCTAGTTTTCTGAAGTCAGGAAATATGTTTTTAAAAAGGCATTCATTTTCAGCTATGACAGAAGATGTGAATAATCAAAGAGGATTATTTTCTCTCCTCTAGGCAAGAGCATGGATGGCCTATAATTGCTTCATCCATGTGTCCACGTGCATAGAGATAGTATGTGTGTGGGATGAAGGGAGCATAATGAGTTATGTAAGCCCTTAAGAGAGGTCTGGAATGAAATACCTGAAAACGAGTCACCTCCACCCCAATCCATAACCTCCACAAAATTGGGTGGCTTAGCTCAATATTCTCTGAAGAAATTTCTATTTGTGAGATGAAATTGAACTGCACTTACAAATTGGTCTTCTCTGATAAAGAAAGAGATTTTTTTAGTGGTTTCTTTAAAAGCTATAAGTGGTTTCCCTAATAGGCAACAAATCATGGGACACTGTCTATTATCCAAACACCTCCAGGCTCTAGAGCCTTGTTTGTGAGATGAAAAGCCTATGGATTGGGTGTTTTCGGCAGTCTTGGTGTCTGAGCCTATTGATTTTGGAGAAAAAAAGAAATAATAATTGACTAAAAATGATTGATTTGAGAGCCTGCCTGAATGGCTTCAGCCTCACTTAAGCTGTTATTTTTATCCTGTCCATGGCAATATGGCTGCTCACTTCAAAACTGGGCAGTCCCTATTTTGTGGCATTTCTTATTATGCTCTAGTGTTAAGATCATGTGGTACATTCTGTAGCAAGGTCTCTCCACCTTTCCCAAGGGATATGGAGGAAATAAAGAGCTCGAATCTCGGTGGAAGGCTGAAAATCAAAGTAAAAGTACAATACAGGCAGAGTTGACAAGGAGCTTTTCTCTGTTGCTGAGAGGTCATCAAAAGCCAGAGGTCTTACTGGAGACCAGCAATTCTGAGTTCATCTCGCTGGCAGGTTGCATAGCTAACTAAAATAGTTGGAAAAAAATACCCATGCCACATGAGAACGATACCATTTCAACATTATCCCATTTTCACAAGAGGCTTATGCTCTTAAGTTTCTAATGACATGGGTGATTCAAGGCTTTCATATTTTCAAATAGCAGGTATAGATTCAGGCTGATTTCGCCATGCTTTTGCCTCAGCCCCCATTCACTGTGAGAGATGGCTAGCCAAGACTCTGTGAATTACAGTCTGGCTATTGGATAGAGACGATAGAATATTAGTAAATACCAAAGAAGCCCAAATATTTGGAAGGGGTTTTACTTGCAAAAATTGAACTTGTCATCCTTATTTTAAAAATCAATCATCACTGTAATTTTCAAAGAAGAGTATAAGTTTAAGCTCCAAGCTTTGGTTATTCATTCAGTTGATTATTTTCAGCTCAGTGATGATTCTTTGTTAAAAACTCGGGAATAAAATTTCATCATACTTTTATCTGATGTACCTCAGTGGGATGGAATAATAAAATAATGAACATTCGTCTGTCACTTTACAGTTTGCACACATATTATCTCACTGATTATCAGTAGACTATGACTTCATGTGTCTGGTATGAAGGACCTTCCTTACCTTCTTTGCCACTGTATCCCCAAACCTTGCAGAGAGTGTGGCACAAAGTAGGTGCTCAGTAAGTATTTATTAAATGAATTGTTGAACGACCTCGTGATGTAAGCAGAGCAGATATTACTCTTTTTCCCATTTTATAGGTGAAGCAACATTACAGAAAATTTTAGTGACTTGCTCAAGGTCAATATAGCCAGCAAGTGGTGGTGCCAGGCTTTGAATCTAGTTTAGACTCCAAAACCTGAGCTTTCCTCCATATCTTTAGGTTATGTGATCTAACTCTAGTACTAATCAGTAAATGCCATAATCTGTCTGGGCCTCACTGACCTTACCTGTAAAATAAGAGAAGGCTAATATTCTGTGGCTCTGCAGTCCCATCTAGGTCTAATACTACAGGCTTAATTTACAGTATCATTTACAATGTCATCTGGCTTCCGAGAGTCTTCTCTTCACTGAAGAAATGGTGCTCGTAGTAGAGTCCAAAGAACACAAAGCTGCCAGGTGGCCCCAGAGGAGGTACTCAGGGCCACTGTCACAGGTCTGCTTCCTAACAGTGGGAGAGAACTTCCAGACTAGAAGCTTCTCCCTTTAGGAAGTCAGTGAAGTTGTTCTGAGGTTGGTTGTAAAGAGTCTCTGGGAAAATTCTATGTGATTGTTAACGTGCCATTACTCCAGAAGCTTTCTAGCAATGATGTGCACATTTCATGGCCTTCCTACCTTGGTTAACTTATTATCCCTGTCCCCTTCCCCACAGACACACTCCACGCCACCTTCCACTGCACGTTCAGTGTAGTGGCTGTAACAGGATGTCGCTTTTATAATGAATTCATTGGAAACAGCCTCCATTCATATGCTACCAAGAATTTCAGGGATAGATTTCAAATATGGATTTCATTTTAAAAAATATCATTATATGGGGGCGCCTGGGTGGCTCAGTTGGTTAAGCGACTGCCTTCGGCTCAGGTCATGATCCTGGAGTCCCGGGATCGAGTCCCGCATCGGGCTCCCTGCTTGGCAGGGAGTCTGCTTCTCCCTCTGACCCTCCTCCCTCTCATGCTCCCTGTCTCTCATTCTCTCTGTCTCAAATAAATAAATAAAAATCTTAAAAAAAATAAAAAATAAAAAATATCATTATCCTCATCACACCTAAGGCTCCTTTGCAGCAGCTTTGTAAATATTTATCCAATTGTTATTTGGAGTCTGGTTTTTTTATTTTATAAAGAACTGATTAATCCACACTCCCTAGAATGATAATTTTCCAGCAAACCCAAATACAAACTGAAGGCCCTGTGTAAATTAGTTCTAATTTTCTTCAGCCAGTAGCCTGCTTAAAATGTACACAAATGGAAGATGTCCAGAACATTTAGTCTGTTTTACCTGCCGAGGTTAACGTCCCCCCCCACCCACCCCACAAACAGCCTGCTATGAAATCTGATTACAGAGGACTGAGAAATGAAAGCTCAGCTGGAATTAGAGACAGCTGTCTCAAATAAGGGTCGAACCCAGCACTACACCCTGCAGAAAGAGGCCTTTTCAGGCTGCACTCCTTTTCAGAATAGAACTTCAGTTATCACTATGGTTCCTAAGTCAGACTCAAATCGCTGGCCATCACTTACCGAAAATTTCGAACCACGAAACTGTGACCATTTCTAAGAGCTGCATTGTTCAACAGGATCCTCAAATTAAACAGCATCTTCTTTTGATAATGAAAAAGATGATTCTATGCTCTTGAAAACGCCTCACCAAGGTAGACAGTGGGTCCACCTAAAAGCTAAGAACGATTTCAATTGTGGTGAGAGAGCAAAGGTAATATCAGCCTTCAACTATCTAATCAAATTCCCCTGGTTAGCGATACTGCCGGGCAGGGTACAGGAACACCTGAACTTTAAGCCAAGCTCCACCACTCTGTGTGTGTGTGTGTGTGTGTGTGTGTGTTTAGAAGGAATCCTGATTCTTTTGGTGCCCAAACTCCTCATTTTTCATAATATATTTATGCTGTCACATGCTTGTATGAAATCAATTGACAAGTACTCATTGAGCGTATTATATATGCAGGGCATTGCAGTACTAGCTGCTGTGAAGATACATAGAACTAACCCTTTCAGAAAATGTGAATCATCAGTGCAAAACCCCAGAGGTAGACATGACAGCCCTGAGTATTTCCAGTGATATTACTTTTGTAACTCTAAGTCTCAGCTTTCCCACAAAAACAAATAGAAAGAAATGCCCTGGAGCTATTTTTTGGTGGCAAGAAGCTGGAGTGGGGATAGAGGTCTAATAAAAAGATCTCAGTCCTGTAGCTCCCATTGTGCCTCGCACATAGCAGGTCTTCAATAAGCAAGTAGTTGCCTATTAATTCTTGCAGGGACCCACAATCAGTAGACGTGGGGACGGAGTACCATATGTTCCTCCTCCCCTGGTAGCCTCTCCAGATCACTAAGTGGTCATCTGACACTTTACATTCATTCATTCATCCACAGTTGTAAGTCAGATATTATTCAAAATCTGTTCTGTATCAGATACTGGACTAGGCTGGAATTTCAGTGAAGGAAGATGATCTCACTCTCACAGAGTTTACAGTTCAGTAAGGGTGATATGATTTGTAAATAAATATCGATAATACAGACCCATAGGAGAGGTCCAGATAAAGTGCTGCCATATCACAGGGAAGAGAAAGTACTCTAAGCCGGGAAGGGTGGGAGGCAGGGAAAGAGCGAAAGGGGTGGGGGCTGCCTCTTCTGATCAATTTATACAACTTTCACAAACCCAGGTAAGCACATGCTAGAACTTTATGCAATGCAAAAAAAAAAAAAAGGTGTTATTTAAAAATCAATAATGGCCACTACAAGGGCAGGGATGGTTGTAATGTCATAATTAATATCAGCAGGGAAATAAATCTTGATACTATTCCCTTCTACTTACAAAGAATGATGTGAAACAGAGAGGGAAAGACTGAAATGTCCAAACCTTTACTAAATCTTCTGTCCTGGAAAGAATATTCCAGGTAGAGGCAAGTGTTTGCAAGGGTACAGAGGTAAGAAGGTAGAGAGTGAATGTTCCAAGTGGGAGAAGAGATGGCTGCTTTGTTGGAAAAGACTGTAAAGCATCTTTGAAGAGGCAAAAGAAGCCAGTTGGACAGGTTTCCTAGAGTGAAATTGTTCTACGTAATACAAGGAAGGAAACTGGATGTTTGCAGTGAGATTCAGGGAAAAGAGTTCAAACGGCATGCTAATGCAAATCCTGTATCTTAGTCAAGTGTGCTACCTCCACAAACAACTCATGTTAGCAATGCTGGGGAAGAAATCCAGAAGTGCCTGAAAGGGGGCAGCACTTCTGAGATGCCAAAGCAACTCAGAAACCCTTGTAATTCTGTGGAGGTAGGAGCTCAGTCCCCCAGCGGGGACTAAGAAAACTGAAACCACCCATAACCCCAAGAGAGATTGGAAGAGAGAAGCTGCACCACAAGTGGGATGAGGTTAGAGGCAATTTCATTGACTCTCAAGAGGCAAAATATCTGGGTAACATGTGGGAAAGCACCTTACAGGATTTGACATTAGTCCTCAGAATTCAGCCAGAGGCTTTTATTGACCCACACCATGACTCCTCTAATTCCACGTCGACGCCTGGTTTGGCTCCCTACCTCGTTCCCTTTGTTCACCCAGTCCTCCATTCACTCATTTTTCTCTTCCACCAACAACAGCTGTGCAGCTGCCACAGGCTGGGTCTCTGTACCAGGTGGGCTCTGAGGGATAGAGTGATAAACAAGAGTGATGAGTACTTTCCCACATGGAAATGGAGTCAACCATTTGGGATGACTCCAGAGGACAAATTTTGTCTCCCTCCCCTGAACCCAGGCATTCTAACCAAGGGGGAGGGGCTTGTTCTCTGCTTCCTTGCATCAGGCCCCATGGGACCTCCAGCTTGGCTTGCTCTTCATCCAGCTTCCATCATCGGGGGGTGGGGTAGAGATTAGATGGGGTTCCTGGAGGTGGTAGCATTGATCCTTGATGAGTTGGGAAGAGTTATGGAGTTGTCAAAACTGGAGGGAGCTACAAAAGATATTACAGCAAAGGAAGGAACCTGTGAGTAGACCCAGAGGAAGGAATAAATAGGGTGTGTGGGGTAACAACAACTTTCACAGTGATGAATCCACCTCATCACTGACCATTTAAATGAGGCCCCACTACCACCCAGGAAATTATGAAAAACATAAAACCATGAGTGTCCATATCCTGTTTGTATCCCCTTTGCATTCAGTCTCCCCCTACGTACCTGCCACTTCTTAAGGAGAGCACCCACAGCTGTCTGCCTCAAGACACTCCTCACCCCTGTGTGGCAACCATGGGGCATATTTTACACAATCCCTTAAAGGGCCCTGGTGGGACTGAGCATTGATTATCCACAGTAGTAACCTGCTCATCCGTGTACCCTGTGGTAGCTGCCGTCCCTTCATTTTCTCCCTTCACTTGTTCCCCCACCAGTGCTTCCTGGGATCATCTTCCAAATAAATCACTTGACCTCAAATTCCTCTCTCAATATCTGCTTCTGTGGGAACTCAATATTTGCCCAGATCTACCTTTTCAGTAATTTTTCAATGCTGTCTTGTGTTCTCTTCCCGCAGACCCTCTTATCTCTTACTTGGTACCTGGGCTTTCAGTGTCAACATCTTCGTTCCCTACACCATATGGAACCCTCACTCTCAGACTGAGCCCTGGTTACCTTGAAACTGGTAGTGTGCTAGTAAATGTTTAATAACCAGCTCTTTAAAAAAAAGGGAAAAAAAAAGCTCTGATCTGTGGCATTGACCAATCTGTGTGGTGTATATGCTCCCACCATGGCCAGATTCAGGCTACCAAAGTGACATCACCGAACATGGAGTTGGGAAGAGAGGTGTAAAATTGGCTCCTGCAGGCCATTGTGAGCACACCACCGCCTGTGACTCCCACCCAGAAAGGAGAATCCTCTCTCAGTTTGAAAAGGGATATTGGAGCCAGATTGTTGAGGGCCTTGAAAGCCAAATTATGGGGTTAAGAATTTAATCTGTAGTCAAAAGAAGATTACTAAAGTTTTAGAGCTGGGGCAGACAGGTGGACATATGTTATTATCTGCATTGTATTTTGAAAATATCAATCCAGCAGCATTGTGTAAGAAGTACAGTGGACAGAAAATTGAGGCAAAGAGACAAAGGTTATTGTGTTATAACAAGGACATGAGTACATACTGAGGATGTGGAAATAGAAAACAGGATGGATGCCAGAGAGATTTAGCGATTAGATTCCACCTATCAGAACAGTTGATAGGATGTTGACAGAAGGGAGATGATAAAGTTAATGAGACTCCAGAATTTCAAGTTTATCCTGTCACTTGACATTTGAGTCTAAAATTCCAAATGGCCAAATGTTCCATTGGGGATATAAAGAATGTTAGTTTCTTGACATTTAAAGCTTAGAAGCATCATGTATGAATTTGCAATATTCCTTTGAAATTGCTTACTGTTTCCCTAGTGAAGTCCAGGCATTGAAGGGGGAATCAATGTGATGTAAAGAATTGTGGGAAGGATGCTTGAAGATCAAATGTGACCTCTGGCTGGGTTGCTAACAGATAGTGAATTTGGCCAAATCACTTGGTTCCCTTAAGACCCTCAGAGTCCTCACCTGTCTAAATAAAGGTTTTACAAAATGAGCTATTACACTACTTGGGAAGGTTTAACATGCTAACCAAACATGAGGTACAGTGTCTAAGAGCCTTGGCATAGCTATTGCCAAAGATCTATTGCAAATTTCAGCTCTGTACAAATAAGACATATGGCTGTTACTGCAGTGAGAAACTCTGTTTATTTCAGTGTTACTAATGACATAAATACTTTTTATAGCTGGTTGTCTGAAATCTTTAGGATCCTAAGAAACATAAAGCTTTTGCATGCAGTATACACTTTAGTTACCAGCTCTATGGGATTGTTGCTGGCTCTCTATCGTACACTAGATAAGAACAAAAAAATCATGTATCCCTATCTAAGACCAGAAGCCATCCCGTGACCATGAGGAGAAACAACACCAGAGGCCATCCTGTGACCGTGAGGAGAAGCAGCCTTAGAATGAAGTTGTGGTTGGCCAGAATGCAAGAAGGAAGGAATCTTGGTCATTTATGACATCGTTGAGTTGCAAAATCAACCATCCTCATGACCCTCCCTACCACTAGACACCTTGTTATATAAAACAATACATGTCCTTTTTGTTTAAGTCACTTTGGATTGAGGTTTTTGTCACTTACAACCAAATACATGCTAACTAATATACAATTTGGCTTAGGTTTTTGAAGGTTTATTTCTCATATAACAACAGGAAAACAATAATGTCCTTCAAAGATGTGGGTTTTAGTTCAGAACCTATCATTTATTTATTGAATGACCTTGGGCAAGTCAGTTTCCTATCTGCAAACAAAAACAATACTCTTTTTCTCTTCTTTTTTTGAAAAAGATTTATTTATTTATTTGAGAGAGAGAGAGCATGAGAGAGCATGAGCGGGAAGGGCAGAGGGAGACAGAATCTCAAGCAGACTCCCCTCTGAGCAGAGAGCCCCATGTAGGGCTCAATCTCATGACCCTGAGATCACAAACTGAGCAGAAACCAAGAGTCTGACTCTTAACCAACTGTGCCACCCAGGTGCCCCATCTTCATTTTTTTCAATTTTGATTAAATTTATTTTGATTAAATATTTTTATTTTGATTAAAAGAACATACTTAATATGTTGTGTAATTTAAAGTTTAAAAAAATTTTTAAATTAGCATACAGTAAATATGTAAATATGTAATACATATTTAGCGTACATTTAGCGTACTCATA